GGAAGATGAGAACTGGCGACTTGGTAGTACAACTTTAGTACGCAGAGTAGCTGGGGAGTGGGAAGATGAGAACTGGTGAGTGGGTAGTAGCTGAGAACTGGCGACTTTGTAGTACAACCTTAGTATGCGGAGTAGCTGGGGAGCTGGAAGATGAGAACTGGCGACCTGGTAGTACAACTTTAGTACGCAGAGAAGCTGGGGACTGGGAAGATGAGAACCGATTGCAGCACGCCTCCACGTGTCGTATCTCTCTCAGTACACACATGCAGACACATGCAGACACCCACACATGCAGACACCCACGCACTGCCTCAACTTACACGAACACACACATACACAGACTCACATACACACGGACATAGACACACACACACAGAAACCCACACACTACCTCAACCCCCTCAACTTAACACTTCACACTGCACACTTAACACATAACTCACACTCTGACATCCTACGTGATGACAAATGCTTTCGGGCCACTCGTCGTCTAGTTTCTACATGTGCAAGCCAGTGAGCCCGGGGACCCCATTTTGTGGCGCAAGGTCGGCAAGGTCCTAGTTGGGGCTTTGTGACGGTATTTGTGAGGGGTTTTGGCTTAGGCGAAGGTTAAAAACATGGTATTGGCGCCTGCAACCGACTGTGTAGACGTTTTCTGGAGCCTGAAGTTTCGGGCCAGTTACCGCATGCCTGTCCAGCGACCTGGGCACCGCCAAAATGCATGGTTGGACGTGTTTCATGAACTCCTCCTTGTTCAGTTTGCCATTTGTTCCATTTTGTTCCTTTAGTGTTCTTTTTTAGCCAAAACCAGATTCGATCACGTTGCTGGGCTCCCGACAAGCTGAACGATTTGAGGATAATGCACATCCCATCTTCCAATGCGCATGTGCAGTAACATCATTCTTAATTTTGAATGCACATCCAGACAAACATCATTATCCTGCCCAATAAACCCACCGAAATTATCCTCCGGCACGAAGCCATGTTATAGCTCCCCATTCCCGTAGCCGGCAACTCAAAAACAAAAAAAACGATGTTTTACATCGCACAGCCACCAACAACATGCAAAATCTTAACTACGCCCAGATTGCGCAAGGTTAGCCAACAAACGCTTCCACCCAGTCGTACCCCAATTCTGCAGAAAGAAGATTGTTTTAGATGCACGTTGAAGTTCAGAATCACAGCAGGGAAGGCCTCTAGCGAGCTTTGACCTATAGCACCTGAAGGTCAGCCCCCAAAATGTCATTCCACTTTGCATGTATAAGAATCTTTGGACTTCAAAACTTCAACAGTTTTGGGTTTCTCCAGTCCTGCAGAGTATCAGCTTGTGCAACATCTTAGGATTGGCAAAATGGAATGTGGCCAGTTTGTCGGCAAGATCAAGCCTGACAAGGTTTGCTGACCATATTGAGGTTTTGTGACACTTTCCTGTAGTTTGGTGGCTGACCGTGCTTTGTGTTGATTTGGCAGTGTGCCTTCAAAGTTTATCCTTTTCAGAATTTGTCGCGTGAGGGCAGTAAAAACATTTCTCCAGTTTGTGCAGGACGTTGAACGCTTGGCCAGAAAGTTCAAGCTCGATGACCACGTGACATCGCGCCTGACAGAACTGAAAGTTTGTAGGAGGACACAGCAAACTGGAGTCACTAGCTTTTGTTGATTCATGTTTATGGCGTGCCTTTTCAGTGACAAAAAGCAGTACAAAGCAATGCAGAGCATTTGAGAGGAATAGCGGTCAAGAAGAGCGAGGTTTGAAGGAGAGTGGGACCTTGTGAACTGATTCCCCAAATCCACTACTCGTATCCTCAATTCAGGTCCTCGATGCAGTGTTTATCTCTGCTTGTCAGGATTGTTGTTTTTTTTCTCGCTCCTTCTTGCCCCTTCAATTCCTTCCCCTCAAGGCTTGGGGCAGGGAGGAAAGATAAGCATGTCACTTCACGCGAAAATGCACATGTCAGCGATAGTTAGAACATGCCACATTGCCAAAGACCCTGCTATGACAGGCGGTAAAACCGCCATCAACAAGAACAACCACCTCAAACTGGCCAGAGAGTGCAATCGGACACTCTCAGGTCAAGCCAACAAGTTGCAATGCCCTTAGACGCGTCATAAGGGCACGGTTTCTTGGAAAAGCTTTTCCAGCTTGCTGGTGGCAAGGTTGCCACCCTACATACCATTCTTTTGGGCTTCACCGGCGATGAAGAACACTATCAAGCCCCGACGCAGAGCACCTCATGATGAAAGCAAGTTGAAAAGGATTGCCAAGATGATAGAGTCAGTGATGCCATGATTTGCCCCCAACCCAAATGAATGACACGGTCACTTGACGTCAATGCCTTGATGGACATGACCATTAGAGGACGCCTTCGTACTAGTGCAATTACAATGTCATGAAAACACTGGCGTTTGCAACTTCCAAAAAGACGCGATGATGCATGTGCGATAAGAAGGAAGAAGAGGGGTATATATGTAATCAATATAGCTATTAGTGGGTGTCCACTTTGCTGTGGGGTGACCCCGTAGTGGGCCCACTTTGAGGTGCTCTACACAACTTGGCTCACCACGTTTGGCTTTTTTGCTTGCAGCCCCTTGAGATCATCCGTTCTTTTTGCGTTTTATATATTTTTTTCCTTTTCTGATTGATTGTACTATATACTACTCTTTTCCTTTGATCTGATGATCTTTGAATTAACTATTTAATTGTCTCTGCGGGCGAGCTGCAGGACCTTGACCGGCTTGAGCAGCATCTACGATATTGCAAGACGCCCAGGGCCGCCCAGGGCCTCACGAAGGTTGAGTTGAACAAGGAACTCAAGACACATCAATATTTTGTTTATCCACTTCTGAGAAGGGCAACATAGACAGATAATTGCAGATAGGCAGCCACACAGACAAATACAACTTGGCAGACAGGGACGGACCCGCCTGGAACTTGTGTGGAACCCGTGTTGCCTTTTTACAGAAGAAACACACTCGGGGAACATCTATATAGGTAGAAAAGGGGAGGGAGGCAACCTGTGAGCTTCATCACCTATCGCTTCGCTCAGGCAAGCGGCCAAATGCAATGGCGACCCTTCTGGCTGGAAAACTGCAATTTCCCAAGGGCAGCAATTCAGTTGTAGCTTGAATGAGACGGCAACAACTGCAAGTCCTTGCAAGGTTGGAGGGCGAGATAGCAGAGCTCCCAGATCTTGCAGAGGCTGAAAAAATCATGGAGAAGTACAAGCTGGACGAGGACTGGCGGGCACAGGTTGCAACACAGTGCTTTTTGTGCCTTGTCAACTTGTGGGAATTGTAGGATGCTCGGTCCAAGCTTCGTGAGATCGTTGAGAAAAGAGCCCATGACCAGGCCAGCCATGTGTTTAGGGCCACTGTTATGGCATTGTGGAGCTTTGCTTTTCTGCTTGTAATTGGAAGTGTCATTCTGTACACTTTAGGTGGATTTAAGTGGGGTGTTTGGCTTTGGATCAGTGTTTTTGGCGGTCTGCCTTTCTGTGTGTTCGCCTGTCTATTTGTTCGTTTGTCTGTCCGTCCGTTCTATTTTTGTTCCGCGTCTTCCTGCTCGCCCTTTGCTGCTTCTCTGTATCGGATTCGGTAAGGGACCAGTTTGTTTGGCGGCATTGCACTCTTTTGTTTGGGTCATTTGGGTCGTTTTTCGTTGTTTTACTCCAATGTGCGGATGTCGTTGTAGGTTGTGCTTGAAGGTTTTGGAGCCGTGGCCCTCTCGTGGAATTATGTACGTGGAAACGCTCTCGCTGCCGTGTGGCGCGATTTTTTTGGGTTCTAGTCTTGGTCTTGGGTTGCTGTGCCACGCGGTTGGCTGCTCCGCGAAACCGAGGTGAAGTGTTGTTTCGTTTTTATCTGTAGTGTTGAGCCAATCTACCGGTGTGAAGGAGGTTTGTAGATCTTGAAATGTATTCTGGCTGGTTTTGGTCGTGGTGATTGTTTGTGCCACGTCGCCATTAACAGCCAGTGCTTTAGATGCGTTTTACACACATCAGCACCCGGGAGATGAATGTTGTGGAACGCGTGGACAGCGTTCAACGTTCTGCTATAGTCCGTTCCCGGCCACCACCTTCGTTATCTCTCGAGAAACACATCCACATGAACGCTCTCTCGTCTCTCCCCTCTCTCTCTCTCTGTTTGTGTCTGAAGTGTGTGGGGTTATCCAGTCCCTTAATTTGTGGTGCTGTTCGAACCTGTCTGAATTCTCATCTTCTTTCTAGTGTGTGGCATGCTTGCCAGGAAGAGGTCCTCATAACTGTCAAGAAACACCTGGACACATCAACCTTTGCATCGTCAATGCTTTGTAAGATAGCAAGGACATGTGATGTGGATCACTTCCAAGTGTTGCTGTATGTACATCTGCTTGTGTTGCTTCAGGACCTTGATAGATGGCGAAAAGTTGGCAGACCCGCCTGAGAGGTGGATAGCTCACACTACGCAACTATTCTGACAAGAGTTCCCTGCTGGGTCTTGAATGACTCTGCCAAGCAGCTGCTAAGCAGGCACAGAGGAAAAGGTGGAGACGATGGAGGCAAAGGTGGCCGAGAGACTGACCGGCGTGATCGAGACAGGGATCGAGAACGACGCGCTGTCTGCTTAGTACAGACCCAAAGGCCGTGAAGTAAAAAATTTTTTCAGGATTTTCTTCTTTGCACACTCAATGACTGAGGATCGAAGCAAAGAGCGGAGTCGCGACCGTCGGGATCGAAGTCGTGACCGGAGAGATGGGTGATGGTTTGCAATTGTGCTTGCATCTCGAGTGAGCAGTGAGCAGTGCGAAAAAGGACAGCAAGTTAACATTAACATGGGGTAGCTTTTCACAAGCATTCGGGCCTTTGCCTTTGCTTTGGCGGATCAAGCATGGAACAATTGTGGATTGAAAAACCTTTGCGTTGGCAATGCACTACGCAGCACGCCTCCCATTTGATTTCTCGCTCTGCCGTGTGCAGGTTTGTACGACTTGGTCACTGGGCGAAAGCTGAGCACGCTGTTGCCTGAGAGCTGTGAGGACATCAAGCAATCTTTTAAGATCAATGAAAAGATGCACCGGGCACTTTAGTTGCTCAATAACAAAATTTGAGACACCCATCCGAAAACTTTGGATATTTCTCTACGGCATCCCCAAAAAAGGTTTCAACACAACCTCACCCTAACAGCCAAGTCTAAGTTTTTGCCATGTGAGCTGCTTTCCATTGCTTTTCAAAGCTCCACGTAAAGCATTAAACATTAAATAAAGACTCATGAAAGTAAGGTACCCTGGGGGCAAGGAAAATTGAGGAGCGCAAAAACTTGAAAGCCTTGTGTGTGAGAGAGTCCGGGTGCAAATCAATATTAGATGTGCGGGGGCTCCTTTATAGTTTCGAGTACTCTAATTCTCCGACTCCTATTAAAAGAGAAAGACTGTTTGAATCAAGCTGTCAGAAGTTGGAGGAATTGCCCCACGAAACCCATCAAAAGCCGCTTGTGAGATCGGCTGGAGATTTGCACTAAGACTAATCAATGCTCATACTGGCTGTGTGCTTTTGCCTCTTCATGGAACTGGCTGGCTAACATTAGCTCCAAAAGGTCTCCGAGGATGTCAGGTTGTCTCTGAGCATGTTGTCATGCCATCAGGTTGCCATGCTTGTATGCTGCGCGCTGTCATGCCGACATTCTAACATTTTGTCCCTTTGTCATACTAACTTGAAAGCATGCTGATGCGCCGCGCTGTTAGGAGCAAAAACGATAAGCTTTTTGGGTGCTGCTGGTTCTGCCAGAAAGTGTTGTTTTTTTGTTCTCCGTTGGTTCTGCATGCCACTGGGTGGAGGGCCTGGACAACCTTTAGGCCGTTGCACTCTTTTTTCATAGGGATAGTTATTGTTGCAAGAGCGGTAGCGTTCATGACCTGACATGCCCTTGACCTGCAGGGCCCTTGAGTCTGCTCAAAAAATGCGCGTGAGCAGCCGCGCTTTGTTTCCCCTAGAAAGCGTTGTGAATTCGCTTACCTGCATTGGTAGCGGAGCGGACCGATCCGCGTGGTTCGCTGCCGCCCATGCCGAGCGCTGCTGATGTGCTGGCGCAGATGGCTGCTGACGGAGATCATGGTGAAGCTGATCCCGATCAGCAGATGGAAGAAGGAGATGACAACTACGATGACGAGCCCAACCTCACGGACGACGACGTCTTGGTCGAGCAGGAGGATGAAGGTCAAGAAGCCCTCTACCAGCGTGTTGGCGCTGGGAGGCCTGGCCGCAATGGACCTCGCACTCCGGCGCGAGGCGATGGAGTTGAAGATCGAGGTAAAGATCGAGATGGTGGACCTTCGACCCCGTCTTCACAGAGATCGAAAGCCTCGACATCCCAGCCGGATGGGAACACTCGACATCGTCCCCGTGGGAACCTGCCCCCGGCGCCTGTCTTCGACGGTGACAGGAAAAAGGATCCCAAATGCTTCAATCATTGGGTACAAAAGGTGGACTCCTACATCGAGATCGCCAAGAAGATAATCGATGAGTCCGAGATCGGCTTGAGGCTACATGCAGCTCTTGAAGGAGAAGCTTCCGACTACCTGGAGGACATCCCGGCACGGACCTTCGGAGTCGACGAAGGCTGGAAGATCTTGATGCACGTCCTCAAGGACAAGTTTGATGAACGTCGCATGCGCAAGGTCGGCTCAGCTATGCAGGGCTTCTTCCGGATGAACCTGAAGGACAAGAGCTACACCCTCACGGAGATCGCCGATGGACAAGTCCGCCAGGCAGTGCCGAGAAGCTGGACTGGTCCTGCCCGACGAGATCATGACCTACTTCTTCTTCGAGCACAGCAACTCTTCAATGGAACGACAGGCCAACATCTTGCTGAGGACTGGTGGCGAGTACACCTGGAGCAAGGTCAAGCAGGCCGTCGATTTGCTGTATCCTCAAACCTACGTGCACCAGCGCCGAGACAACCAGCAGTATCGGCAGGGCAAAGGAAGGACAGCGCGCGAGACGGGCACTTGGGAGGAGCCGCACAGTGCCGACACCACGAACATGGACATCGAGGACTGGCTTTACTACGAGGACCCGGTCGAGCGCCTTGCCGAGTCCGACTCCGTGGGCTATCTCCCCGAACCTCTTGCACGAGAACTTCATGAAGTGTTTGCCACCCACAGGGAGAATCGGGCCAAACTGGCACGAGCTGTGAAGGCCCGTGGTTTCTATACCAACAAGGGCAAAGGCAAGGGCAAGCCGCCCGGGAAGAAAGGAAAGAGTTCTGGAGCACTACACTCTCCCCAGAAAGGAGACAAAGGATCTCGCAAAGGAGGCAAAGGCAAAGCTCGTGGCGGCATGAGCTTGGACGAGCTGAAGAAGGTGACCGCATGCGGAGATTGTCAACAGCTCGGTCACTGGAAGGGAGATCCTCAATGCCCCAAGGCCACCAAGAAGGCCCACGAGACTCACACCATCGACCTCGACCCGGACGAGATCGTCGGCGAGGTCGATTCCTGGTGGGATGAGGACTACTGGGAGGCTCATGAGGTCTCGACTTGGGCGACGCAGCGACAGGAGTCGCCTGTGAAAAAGGTGGAGCCGACCAAGAACTCGAAGGATGCCGAGTCCGAGCTCTACGTTGGTCTGACGGTCGACGAGGCCGATGACGTGGTTCGTGGAATCAACCAGCTGAAGAGGAAGGTCGCCGACAGCCGTCCGCGATCTTCGAAGGACACAGCGCTGATCGACGCATCCAGAGGCGCTGACATCGAGGCCGACATCTTCGACCGGAAGAACGTCTATGACAAGAAGCCCCTGGACGTGTTCACGGCTACAGCCCTCATTCAGGAGAAGATCGAAGAGCGTAAGATGAAGGCCAAGACCACGGCACCGGAGGCCGTGGCGGAGGCGTATACACCACCTTGGGCGTCAAGACAGAGGCGAAGCCGACCTCTGTTTGGGACTGCCTGGAGAAGAAGACCACCTATGACCTGGACGAGCTCCGTGTGACCCACATGGTGCGCAACTGCCAACTACTTCCGGCAGAATGCCATGACCCAGGTCTTCAATATCTTCTACACGATCTTCTCCATGGAGAATGTCCTGACGGCGATCAGCGAGTCCCCCGAGACGTCTTCAGCAACACCCGACTGGCTCCGACAGTGCGGGAAGGCGTGGCCTATCTCACCATCGACACCGCCTGCGAGAACACCGTTGGCGGCAAGACACATTTGATGATGGTTGCACGGATCCTCGAGGCCAAGTACAAGGTCAAGCCCGTGATCCATCCCGAGGAAGAGTCCTACCGTTTTGGACCTGGAGAACCCCGTGTGTCCACCGAGAGGTGGCACGTGCCAATTGGCATTGGTGGAGTGCCGATGGTGATCAAGTCCTCCGCCTTGGAAGATGGCGACCCTGGCCAGAACAAGATCCCCTGGCTGGCCGGGCAGGGGCCACCAGGCAAAGTGCCGTCCCTTGAGGATTACTCTGGAGTCCTTTGGATGACGGGAAAAGCGTATATGGATGACCGCTCACCAAAAGAGACCCACATCTACAACCCCGAGGACGACCCTTATGCCACAGGTGACATCACCAGTCGGACACCCTGTACTCTACATGGTGATGTTTGGGAATACCTCCTGGAGCACCCTCAAGTATATGTACGGCACCATCATCGGCCCCGGACCACAAGATTCCATCCCCATGAAGTCGCTGACGGACCTGAGCCAAGAGAACTTCTCCCACTCCGTGTGACATATAAACATGGGGTGGATGACTGGGAGACTTCAGTCGAGGAGGAGTCATGGACTGGGTACTACACTGTTTTGTTTGGACATGGTTGTGACCCCAGCATGAAGATCGACAACCTCCCGTCACCTGGTCCGCGAGCCGCTGTGTTGATCGACGTACATGGCCATCAAGTTGCAGTGCATCCACGTTCGTTGAAGCAGCTAGAACAGAAGAGGTTCCTTCGTTCGTTTGATTTGGACAACAAGCCACCTGACCTGCCACTCAACAAGCAGCCGAAGATCTTTCGCCCTCAACTCGGAGAGTTCGGCTCAGACCAACCGCCGAGATCCCCTCACCATGCGCACGGCCCCCAGTTCCAAGCATCGAGCTGCGCTGTCTGGTGGTGGTCGAGAAGCAGATTGTGGCGACGAAGGCACTACGGGAGCTGGAACATCGTGCACCAGCCCTGATCGGGTACGCCAAAGCCCTGATTCAGGAGACATATCTCCTAGCCGAAGATCTCCCTCCGACTCTCCCGCCGGCATCGACGAATGCCAAGGGTCGCACAACCCACACGGCGATCAGCCTGACATACCCGGAGGAGCCCAGTCACTGCCCACATCTGGTGGAACATGGTCGACGCTATGGGAACGCGCACGGCAAGTTCCGGGAGTGCGTCAACTGTGGCAGCGTCTGGCGAGGGATCGACTACGTGGTCCCGATCTCCGAGGAAGTGGTGACGACCTACAAGATCTATGTGGGACTGTGTGCCAAACCAGGAGGCAAAGTGACGAAAGGAGCAACCACCCGGCTACCTCAAAGGGTTTCGTCGGCAGGCTACTCCTCATCCTCGTTTTCCTTGCCTCCCAGGTCTATGGAAGCAGCCTATGGCCGGAGCTGGGAGGACACTCAGAAGGCGCCTTTCAAGGCCAAGCCGAAGGCCCACCTGAAGGTCAAGCAGGAGCCCATCGAGATCACCGAGTGGGACGACCAGAGCATGGTGGAGATCACCTCGGAGGAGGAGCTGGTGCAGGAACCGGTACTCAGAACGAGTGGCCGCATGCCGGGCCGCACATGAACTCAGGCCCCAGCGGCAAGACCAAGACCAAGCTGAAGTCTGGCCAGCAGAAGAAGATGCAGCATATGGCTCGGCAAGCCCTTTTTAACTCCAAGCTGCACAAGGACCTCATACAACGACGACTCCAACGAGGACGCTGGCCCCGCAAGCACTTCAAGTTCGACTTGATCGAGGTGTTTGGCGGGACTTCAATGGTGAGTATAAGGGGTGCCACTCTCTGGCGCCTC